GCTCACATAAAGATATAGAAGCTACTGCATGCGCTATAGCATACACTAGCGCTGCTACTTAAATAGCAATACATCGGTTGCACTGACGTAATTTGGTCCTTTTTTTGGGTGGCCGAACTTCCTCGAGCATAGCCTATACTGTACCTACTCTACAAGCAGGCCGTGAGTGAGCAGAAAGGAGTCAGTGCAGCTTGCGCCGCATTAACGACACGCTTCTGCCACCAGCGAGGAAGGACATGACGCCACGTACAGTCCACGCATATAAACAGTACATTCAACATTAGGTTAAATATGATCATTAATAACTGCCACTGATAAGAAACAACACATCTGTATTCTGGACGAACCACTACTGTAAATTACTACTTTGGCGGGTGCGACAGCTTGCAAATTTCACGAATTGCCAGTTTTAGCACTACGTTGCAGGCACCGACATTCGCAATTGGGATCCGTATGATATATATTCGTATCCATGAGGTGACATCTTCGTGCAAGTCATTTTTTGTAATTTGTTTTTTCGAATTACGAGATTCGACAAAAATAGGCACCTGTGAAAATTAAGTTGTTTACTGTATATTTCTGTTTGTAATTGCCACCTAAGCGGCTACCGAAGTAGACAAGATCGGAACATTTGCAATGCGACCTGCTGCTAAATGCGCAGTATACACAACAAATGCAGTTGTGGTTGTGAGCACTGTTAGTACCATTGAGTCACAGCTTTGTGAGCCTGATTGTCTGAAGACGAGCATTCCTTCTCTGAGACAGACACTCTGTACATGTATGTGTGTTAATTGTCTGAAGACGAGCATTCCTACTCTGAGACGGCTCTGTACTATCGCGGACGATATGAGCTGAAACAGCGCTCCGGCCTGTGCACGGTACTTCCTGCGCCGCCTGTTGCATCGCTCCCTAAACACGGCGCACCCTGAGGCCGAGATAAATTCTCACTTGCGCTCACTGCGCCGCTGCGCTCTTCCGGCCGCCTGCTAGCGAAAATATAGGTCGACGGAACCACCATCACGATGCCTCTGCCGTGTAACCTAATGTTCACGTTTTCAGCTGACATGCATTTCAGTGCATTTCAAGAAAGCGCCGAAGTGGAAAATGTGTTGTCACGCTCGTATCTCCTCGAGGAGCGCTGCCTGACGTAGCTGGCTTGGCCCCCAAAAGTAGCCGATCTTAATATCATCGAAAACATTCGGAGGCGCCTCAAGATAGCTATGTCATGGCGTCCCCCTCCACCACGCCACTGCCCACAAATTGTGAAAAGCAATGAGGTGAATGGGAGTGGCTTCGGGCTGAGCCAGACTTCGTGGCCGCGCTCTATGATTTCTTACCAGACAGGATGGAAGCCGTGGTTGCGGGTCAGGGGAGAATGACGCGGTATTGAATTATTTTGTAAGTTATACTGTGCCTCAGGACCCCCTGAAGCGGACTACTGCCGATTGGAACAAGGCTTGATGCTACGGTTGCGACACACCGTTTGACGCCGTTAACCACGCATACTTTTGTGTGGTGTCTCCTTGATCCCGATCTTCTTGTATAGTGCAGGTGAAATTCCACGCCGACTATTAATCTTTTGTGTCTTGACATTGTCCTCTACAAATATTCTTTCGATTAAGTTTCAATCTCCTTGTCCTGGCAAATACATGACTGTTTGTCCCACTTTATTAATACCAGGAATTTGTAAACAAAAAAAAAAAGAAAACAGCTGGTGTCTTGTCAGCAACTTGCTTTGTTTGAAACAAACACGTGGGCCCAGTAATAAAGGAATAAGACTTTTGACCCTTTTCATACCAATCAAGCTTACAAAACCTTCTCAGTAACATGTATATGCCTACCTTTTTTTTATTTTAAACATCTGTGATCAATGAAAATAAAAAAAAAATACATTGGAGCCGGATTAAATCCGGCATACAGATTTTGGCCAATATTTTGCGATGTCCTACTTTGTGCAGGCACCTATGGTCAAAGAAAAGCAACCTGCAACGTCTTTTGATGTGAATTTAAAAACAATAATCGCAGCTAAAATTTAAGAAACTTCAATATTTTTTTTTTCACCAGTCAGCGCTTTTTCTACGGGATTCTGCGCGATAGAGTAAAGTAAATATATTCCGAACAAGGGATGACAAGTGTAATTTTTTGTTCCCCCGTCGCCCTACTACAGACATGCCCGCTGTCGCACCCACCGTCTCGCTTGCAGACGGCCGGAAGAGCGCAGTGGCGCAACGAGCGCAAGTGAGAATTTTTCTCGTACTCAGGGTGCGAATGTGTGAGGATCAAGACGGCAGGCGGCGCAGGTAGTACCGTGCGGCGGCCGGAGCGCTGTTTCAGCTCATATTGTCCGCGATAGTAAATGCATATGTGTTAACATTGTGCAGCTCCTAAACTTAGCAGTGCTTCCCTGTTATATGCTGTACTGGAGGGCTCTCCCAATTCGAACAAATTCAAATGTGAACAATGCCTTACAACAGGCATCGGCAACGTTGATTGTTTGCGGATTGGGTGATGGTGTAACATACAGGCTGCAGTCCGATGCTGGCAGAGTGAGAAGGGACCATTAAGTGCGGATTTTACTATGGGTTTCTTGAGAAAAGGCTTCGGCATGCTGTTCTCGTTCCTTACTGGGCTGTGAAATGCTCAGCATGCAGAAAAGCTCTCTTCTGCGAAATACTGTATGCTGTGCATACTTTCATTCTCCAGAGACTCAGTTTCTGTTTTTGAGTGATAAGCGTTGAAAGGTGTATACTTTAAAATGAAAAAGCTTACCTGGAGGGCTTGATAAGGGTGGGACCATGAAGTTGCCTGCAGCTTCGTAATCTCCTCTCCACTGGAATGTGAAGCAAAAAGAGAACCCTAAAGAGTGTTATCAGGGTGTTTTGACTGCTCGCTTCGCTCGCGGTGGCGCACTGAGCCCGAGCACTACAAAGGGTTCAGTACACCACCGTGAGATACCATGGGAGCAAAATTTGTACCTATATTGTCAGAGTGTTTCCAAATAAAGCCACAGAGAGCACTTGCAATCTAATGGTAGCACCAAAGGAACAGTACATGTAATAAAAAAAGGAAAGGAAAAGGATTTAGTGTTTCGACACCTCCTTGCATTGTGGCGACTAGTGCAATCGATATGGCCTAGAAGAGAGGCATCTGCCCCCCCCCCCCCCCCCGGTCCCGCCCCCCCATGTGCATCAATTCCAAACATAGAGCAGGATCAATGTCCAAGATGAAAAATTTTTGCTCTTTTCTGTGTTAAAATTAAACGCTTATTCTATCGGAACAAAAATAATAAAAAGTTAGAAGTGTTAGTTTATACCATGCATAAAATATTCAAGCAACTGAATGGGCGTTGATAATCTGAGTTGCACATGCACAGAAAAAACACCCACAGACCCCTGCTTTCTGCGAAAGTTAGCGATGCGATGGTACACGACACCAATTGAGCAGTTGAAAACGCCCTGACAGTTGGAAGCACCTTCCAGCATCTACAGCCAAAAATGTTGCTGATCATACGTTTTAAGCTGTCATCGATACTCTGTACTGCTCAGATTAAGCACAGAGCGTACAACTGCCTTATCCAACTGTTGTTCTCCTTTAGCCCCTCGCCCCTTTGTACTGCCGGTGTCAATGAATGTATTTGAAATAAATGAAGAAATAAAGATATACATAGGCCCTATTGAAATTGGTTTCGTGTTCAACGCCACCTAGTTACTTTAAAGATAACCAAAATAACAAAGAAAAATTAATAGCATCATTTTGCAAATAGAAATGCTGATTTTGATTTTAATGATGAACTGTGATGTTGAAGACATCTGTTTTGCTTTCTTGTCAAGCAAAGAATGCAAAGCGTCAATTCCTGCTTGATTACGAGAGAAACACATTTGAAAACGGTCTCCCACATCGCTGCAACTCGAACTGGTTACCAGCAACAACTTCGCGAAGCAAGCGGAGGTCCTTGTCAACCTAAAATCGTTTCCGAGGCCTACACTGCGACGCGTCTGCAGAAGATGTGGTTGGAAGTGACTGGCGGCAGACATCTTGGATTGAATGACAAACGTAAACGGTGCCACCCTCCCTCTGCTTAGTAAACATGGCAGCAGAACGGAGCCTGCGCTCCGATTACCCGTTGCCGGCTAGGCGTTGTGGGCATGTGCAGTTGCCTCCTGGCTCGGGTGGAGTCGGCCATAACAACAAAATCGCTACAAAAGATGTTTACTAACTAAGTCTTTACTAGAAATTCCCTATGTCTCAGAACCTTGTTATCCTCGGGGACGGCTTTTCTTCGCAATGCAGTCAAAGCTACGAGCGACCGTGACCTTACACAACCAGGGCACTGATCGCAGCTACCAATCAAAGCTATGTGGAGTGACCCTCGATTAATACTCTAAATGGCTTAATTTTTGTGAGGATCCAATTTTCGCAAATGTTGCCACGATCAAAATCACGAAAATTCGGTGATGCAAATAGTCACCCCATGGATACCATTACATTGCATATCACTCCTAGTTGCAAAATTTTGTGCCTGCGAGCGAAATATTCCTGAAACCAGCACTTCACAAAAAATCAACCCCGTGAAAATAAAGGTCTCTGCAGTATTCCATGCAAAATGTCAATGTTACCAAGAAGAAAAAAGAGCTGCCTCCAGCAAAAGATTTCTAGTCTCGACAGCACATGCCTCTCAAGCGCAGCAAAAGCATGGTGGAACACAACGAGCATGTGAAGGAGATGGAGCTACTACTGCACTTCTTACATATCAAATACTATAGTAAAACAGGAGGCTACTTGCCTTACACTTGCACGGCTCAACGACACTGTTGTGGTTGCTCTTGATAAAAATAAAGCAGCCTACGTCGCTAAATCTAATTTTAGTCACGTTTACAAATAATGCTCTGTTTACAATATGGAAGCTTATTGATTAAATAAGCATTACTTACATGAGTCTGTTATTAGCCTGTGCCCAATTGACTAATCAATAATTGCACACCATATGCTAAAACCGAAAAGCATACCTGGAGGGCTTGATGAGGGCGGGCACACAGAGCTGCTTGCAGTTGGATGATCACTACTCTCCTTTGACACAGCGCCACTGAAATGTGAAGCAATGAACACTAAACATTAACCAAACCTACCAGAAACTCCCAATGTCTCAGGACCTCTTTGCTGCCTTGATCACGGGTAGTATTTGGTTTGGGCAAGGTCAGCACAGAACTGAAAAAAGTTGATCAAATCCAAGCCATACACTGCTAATAAGAGGTTCCTTGTAGATTCAGGGGCCTGGAAAATTCTCCCAATGAAGAACAGCTATTCCTCATGAAATATCCCAGGCAGCACACCAATGTCGGTCCGACATTGGCCTAACATTGGCAAAGACCGGCCTCAATATCGGACAATATTGGAAGCGCTACCCTTTCCAATGTTGGCCCAGTGATTGGTGCCAATGTTGGGCCACTGTTCAGCCATCGTTGCAGCCAATGTCGGCCCATCATTGGTGCCAATGTTGGGCCATTGCTAAACCATGGTTCCAGCCAAGGTGCTCCCACATTGGCGAAGACCGGCGTAATATCGGACAACACTGGAAGCGCGACCCGATCCAATGTTGGCCGTCATGCTGATTTTTGGCCATCATTGCACTCGCCCAGCTTTTTGCAAGTGCACTGGCTAAGTTGTTTGCAAAAAGGAAGGTAAACAGACACAAAGGATTGTTTTGAAATCTCCTAAAAGTTTATTGCACACAGTTTATTCTGTAGACAAGCACAATCTCAGCAATTTGTAATATGTGAAGAGGTACTACTCAGCTGTGATACAACTAAGAAGATTGCAAAGCAAGCAACAACCGGGGTAATTCTTGGGTAGTGTCTAGTCTCCCGGCAGCTGGCAGAATTTTCCCCCAAAATTCTACCACTAGTCGCCCCTCATTGGCGGTGCAATCAGTTCATCGAACTACATTTCATAGACAGATCGTTTCATCAACACGCGATGTTTTATAAAAAAACTCAAAATATGTTTTCGTTTCTTCTTTTTTTTTTTTTTTGTTGCAAAGAACCGCTTTAGACTTAGCATGAAGTGGCGTGAAAAGGTGGGCTGGTTCGGTGAGCACGCGCCTCAGGCATACACGCGCGACGAAATGCCCCTCGCGTAACGAATGTCGATGAAACGTAAATGTCGACCAGAAAGGTGGCCACAAAACGTGTTTTGCGAAACAAAGGTAGAATAAAAAGGTCAGTATTCTACCTGCAATTGTGACATTATTTCAGACAGGTAATGGCAGGCGACTGTCGGTAAGACTGCGGGAAAATTATTCTCCCAGCTGTCAGGAGATAGGCACTGCCCAATTCTAGAGGTTATCCGGAAGATTACCCATACAAGAACGGACAATGATCACCAAGTAGGTGTCGGCACACTTACGTTGAAAATACCGGACTTGAAAGACGTAATCCGACTTATATGTCAACACGGGCACTGCAGAACAACCACTCAAACACAAAAACTAGAAGGAAGTGATCCGTGAAGATTCAACACGATGTAGCACACGCTGCCATTTGCCGAACCGAACACTAAACTGTTCACAAGAATGTCTTGGGCTTTTTTTTAAGAAATTGACACGGGTAGGACTTTTCGAACGAGATGCCATTTACCACAGAAGCGAAATCCACAGCGGGCCTGCACCCCGCAGGCCGCATCACGCGCGAAACTAAAGCGCGAAACACATGTACGACGAAACCTTCCGATCCGACGTGCGGACTGCCGGAACGACCTTGGGGGGAGAGGGTGTTCGTAGCATCGGAGAGCGTTGAGAACCCTTTCCCCCCCAAGGTCATTCCGGCAGTCCGCACGTCGGATCGGAAGGTTTCGTCGTACATGTGTTTCGCGCTTAAAGGGACACTGACAGGGTATTTATGCTCGCCGAGGTTTTTAGTTGTACGTGACATATGAGAACTCAACTACCCAGAACAGAATTTGCGGCTCGAAATTCGGTTTCTTTCCGCCCGAAAACCGCCGATCAAGAACTGGCCGGTTCGAGTCTCGCTCACTCTCTTTTTCGCGGTCACGTGCCGTTTTCTAAGGTATCGATGCGACCACCAAATTTAATCAAAGTCGTTGGTCACTGAAGGCACACACTCAGTATTAAAAATAGAAAAAAATATGAAGCCCATTTTTGTGGCTTCTAAAAATCTGTAAATACGTTGACTGAAAAAAAAAGTTCCACAGACAACCGGAAGCATTCTGTGCGTTCGTCGTTTCGCGTATCGTGGGACTCGCGGGGACGGCGATGGTAGCGGACGACGGGCGTGGGACCTCTATTTCAGAACTGTCGTTCGCGGTACCGGCGAATTCTGTCTACCGTTAAAAGAGAAATTTGGGACTGATCAAAAGAATCGGTATTCATCCCGTACGACACGCCCGGCCACCAAGCCGATTTGCACGAAGACGTCGCCGAGCCGTCGCTCCCTTCTCGTGGCTGAAGACATCGCTCGCGCAAACGTCAAGCACGACGTGTCTACTTCGAGTTGAATATGCACGCGTACGATTTCCCTACTAGGTGCGAATGTCCCCAAGGCGTGGTGCTTCCAGACTTCGACCCGGGAGTGCTTTTGCTAGAGAAAAATCAGCAGCAAACTTTCCAACTTACAGTTTACCGGCTGAATTATTGCTTACTAAGGAAAGAGATCTATTAGAAACGAGTTGCCCCAGTAGCTCAGTGGGAAAGACGTCCGGTTCACACGCGTAGGGCCGGGTTCGATCCCCCGTCAACTTTTATTTATTTTTTTTTTTCAAACATTTTTTGATGTTTACATATCTTTTTCTTTTTTTACCAATCATCACTGAAGAAACAAACAAAAAAGAATAACCAAAAAATGTTGTGGACGATACTTCGCTGAATTAAATGGTATGGGATTTCCGTTTTGACACCTGCGAACTCAATGTAATCACTTTCCACAAAATGCAAGGAGCATATAAATCAGGTAGCGTCCGCTTTCCGAGGTGCCCGTATATCTTCTACAGGAATTGCAGCCAGCCATCGGTCCCGATCCCGTTGATCTTTCGGAAACTCTGTCGCACAATGCCACTTTTTTTCGGATGCAGGACATGTGAGCCAGCTCTTCACGCAACATCTTGGGTGTATTCTTTTCGGAGCCGATCATGGAAATTCACCACGGGCACTCACTACTCATCTCCAACTCCTCAATGTACAAAGCGACTCATCTTGGAGTACAGAACAACGAGCGGAACAAACATAAGTGCGAAAAAATCGCACGGCGAGCAGTTCCCGCACGCCGCATCGCACGCCGCATGACGTGTCGTCTGCTACGGAAAGAAGAAGGGAGAAAAAAAAAAAAAAAAACGCACGGTCGGGTGTAACCACGTGACTTCCGCCACTCGCACCTCTTCTCTCCACTTCTCCGACCTCCGTCGGGTTTCGGTTTCGGTTTCGAGCAGTTGCGTCTTTTGGCTTTATTAAAAAAATACGCTAGTCTGTTGCAAAATATTAATTGGGTAGTCCTCTGACACCATAATAAAGCGCCTAACAAAAAATGAAAAAAAAAAATTTTGGGGGGTGTCAGTGTCCCTTTAAAGGGACCATGAAATGATTTTAAAATCGAGTTTCATCCACCGCACGTCGTAAAAGGTGTGAAAGGAAACACAAAAACACAAAACTAGGGAGCCAAAAAAAAATTATTCGCTATAGAACTTTTAAAAGAAAACTGGACTCTTTTGCGCCTCCCTTCCTTCGCCTGTTCACTACGATGCATCGGCGGAAAAGGAGCACGTCAGCCAAATCCAGGTCGCCTATTGGGTAAGAGCCTACCTCACCAGCACCGCGATCGTAAACAATAAATAGCCGGCGAATGTTTCCTAAAAGTTTTGTTAAATAATATTCAGATCCACATTTTGTAGCATAATTAGAGATGTGTGGCAAAAATTGCCAAATTTGATAATGCTGAGAGCCAAGCGCCATCTATCGTGTGGTAAACGAAGCAACCACTGCGCGTGCGCAGTAGGGCAGGGCCGAGTTCAGAACGGTTATTTCCTTTGGTTTTCTTTCTCTCAGAACTCTGACTGACTGACCGTTTATTTTTCTACGTCTTCATCTCGCGCGTGCCGACTTCAAGCAGCAAGAAAAAAATGTACTTATAACAGACCACGACGAACAAGAACGCTGGATCCACAAACACCCGAGAAGAGCGACAACAGCCGCGAATCCCGCACCTACGAAGCTCTCAGGATATAGGCCTAGCAGGCACTCCGACTCGGCGCAGCGTTGCTTCGTCGCAAGACCGTCCGTCTGCCTACGACCGGCTGGCGTGCTGAATGGAATATGCCCGCGCTACCCTTGTGGACCCTTCCCGTATTATAGTTTGATCGCTGACCTCAATTTTAGGTTAAGAGGTGAGGTCAATCTCTTCCCCTTGTTTTCCGAGGCAGGGTTGACGAACACTCGTCGAAAAGGGACCCTCGTCAATTCTCTCTTCTTGTTTTGTGTGATATAGAGCTGAAATAAACGCTGTATGGATTACCTTCGTAACACGGTATGTACACTTTGTTATTGGTATGCCATTTTTATTCTGACAGACTGCACGTCACTGTCGAGCTGTAACAGTTCGTGGGAGGTATACGCGCAATACCGGTCCAAGCTTTCTTTGCCGAGTGTCGCGTCAGTATCGAGTTGCAATCGTAAAAGATTGGTCCCGAAGCGCTTACCAACAGCGCGAATACAGCACTTCCATCAAACGCGCGCGTCCGCTCCGAGTGTGAACAGGTATTTACGTGGCTCTTGCTGACACTCGTAGTTCAAACGTATCTTTTTTAACGTCGGCTCGCTCCTGCATCTCCGAGACCGCGAAAAACGCCGCGGCAATTTGTTTCCATCTACGTCGCTTTGCAAACGACTGACACTGGCCGCCTTTTACCAACAATGACAGTTGGGTTAACTTCTGGAGTCTTCACCGGAAGACTCGCTGCACTTCCCAACAGGCATAACGGCGTATGGGACTAGCCCCATGCTGTCGCTGTAGCGCAACGTATCTCATTGAATTTCGCTCAGCTGCGATGCGGCGATGAGAGGCGCCGATTCAGAAAATACGT